TCTGTTTAGAAAGGTGGTGTGGTGGCCAGGCGGTATTTACATGTGGTTAGTTTCTGAAATTTGGCTTAACACCTGAGTAAAATCATTAGCAAAAATGCTTGGGCAAGACAATTTTGCATTTGTTTAAGAATGAGTTGTGCAGGAGGTGCGAAAAGTCAGGCATCTCTCTCTGCCTTCCTTTCTTTTTCTCCCTCCCTCTCTCTTTTTCTGTTTCATCTTCTTGAAGTATAGTTGTTCTCAGCTTCGATTTTATTAACTTTGCTAACTGTGATTTTTCCCCCTGATCCCCCAAGGGCAGTGCTGAGAGACTAGGGTAAAGAAAAGCAAAGTGGTCCTCATGGACAGCCTGATCTCCTGCAGATAGCATGACCTTCCCATCATTTCTTTGCTCTCAGTGGCTATGGCTAGGAGGTGGGCAGTGGAGAGAGGTGCAAAAGGAGAAACAGCCAAGTCAGTGTGGGGGTGGGGGGAGGGACTTCTCTGCATGGATGTTGAGACTTGTTAGAAACCATAGAAGAGAAGACTCTGTCTTCCAGGCATTCGGAAAAGCCTGTGGGAGAGTAGGGGAGGGCCAGACACAAACCCCTCTCCCTCCCCCATAACCCACCCTCATTACCCACCCGCCCACATAAAATGCCATGGGGCGAAAAGTTGGACTAAGAGAGGAATGTTCTAAATTAAAAAAACGTAAATGCCTCTCCAGGAGTTCAAATAAAGTTTCATTTTAAAAGCAAAAGACATAAACTCATCACCTTCGTTTATTACTGAGTGCTTTTGAACTCCTCAAAAAGGAACACTGTAAACTCAGGAGAGAAAAGTGATTTATGATCCCCTCCTCATAACCTTTTTGATTCTTTAGGAGTGGGACAGACAGTAGGATCAGCTAGGGAGGCAGAAGTAGGATGAGGGTGAGCCCCCCAGGCTCGGAGCAAATCTTAGCTTTTTGGAGCCTTTTTCACTGAATGTGAAGAGGCTTTCCTGGGTTCCTTGCTCTTTTAATGTTTTGAGCTGCTGTATCATATGTAAAACCGTCCCTTGCTATTCTAGTTTGGGGAGAGTGGAATTGCAGCATTGAAAGACAGACTTTGTTTCCTGTGACAATTTAAGTTCTAGGGAATTAAAATAGAATAAAATTGACATTTCTGAGCAGGTCACTATTGAAAGTAAGGCTCTTAAACCATCCCCAAAGTGCAGGAGCCTATTTCTATGACCTGTCAGCCTCCTGGAGAGTCATGGCAGGGAGCACACAGGATGTGCTGGAGTTTCTAACAAAGCCCACCTGGCCCAGTTGAGGAAGATGACAAAGTTCTGGAGATGAATGGTGGTGATGATTACACAACAGTGTGAAACTTTGATCCCATTAAACACTGACTCCCCCCGCCCTGCATTTTGTTCCTATAAAGTAAGCATTTTGTCAGTGGAAATGATGGAGTATAGTCCCGTCGTGAATAATGACTGCTTCTGCCGAGTCCTGGTGGGAAGAAAAGCCTTTGTCCCAGAAGACATGTTACAGGAGCAGCTCGGACAGACACCACAGCCCCCTTTGCACCTCAGCTGCCATTAGGAAAATGTCTTTCTCACCTTTCAAAGAACAGCTGCCATAATAGAGAATTTGAGTGAAGGAAAACCAGAATTTTATTTGTATCCTCTTTTCATGACAGAATGGAAAACAGGAAAACGACACTAATTGCAATCCAAAGATGTTTGCACTTCACCAAATACTAACTAGAACCTGAGATGAAGTACAGTGATAGATGATAGTGAGTGCTTAAAGGAAGAAAAAGGCTTGGGAATAATCCATAATGATGGGTAA